TTATGCTACTTATTCGGCTTAAACGAGTTTCTGGATGTGATAGATACTCAAAATAAACATAGTAAATTTGATAAGATTAACTAACAAACATAAAGTACGATTATTTCCTTCCTTTTCATAGACTTGTTTATATCCATGGCTTTTCTTAAGCTTATACTTTTTATTATATCCAATTACATTTTCCTTTGAAAAGTAAACTTGTGACTTCTCGCCGATTTGCATTATTTAGATTTTAGAGTGATAAAATTTCATGAAATTAAATAATGCAACGACATATTAGTTATAGTTCGTTACTTATTTCGAATGGAAATACATTTTCTTACATATTGATAGTTATTTTCAAGAATATCCAATAGAATTTCCCATTATATTAATGACATATATTATATAATTGCTTATATGGTTGCGTGTTCATTAGTTAAAAAATCAAAAATACGGCTCAACCAATTTTGATAAAACATCATATTTAGCTATAGCGCTTGCTAGAGCGCCTTTTATACCTTTTAAATGAAGAATACTAACAGTAAAATTCCCATAAAATCTGATAAATTGCACATTATTTTTAAATATCAAGGCAACACCAAACTTTAACCGTTACGTTTCAGTGAGACACAACGTCTTTCTTTATTGATGTACTTAAAAACAGCAGTAGAAGGTCGTGAATGTTTTGGAAGGTTGTATTTGTAATAAGTCCTGTCAAAACTTACCCTCGTTGGAGCCTGAGTGATGTCGGCCCAATTACACTTCATTAATTGACCCAAACTAATTGTTTTCACTTAATTTCGTAGTTGTCTTTTCAGATTAGTTGCAAACTCTGAGACGGTAAATCTTTTATCCCAACAGCCATTAAGTAAGCGTATTATAAATCAATCTATGATAATGATTATGAATATTTTTTGGTGGTTTACGACAAAAAATTTGTGGGTTTTTATATAATCTTTAAATCCAATGACAATAATGTAATGAAAAAGATAATGCTCCCTTACACGTAACTTTTCAAGAGTACATAAAATTTTGAAGTTAATTTTAACAATATAATAAAAAGTAATCGATATCTTTATCATGTAAAAAAATAACCATTACTAACGGAACGTTAAAAACTTCAACGAAATTGTGAATAAATTTAGGCCTTGATTTTCGTAATCCAATTTTTTTTATCACACTTCTTTTTTTATCGATACTTAAAAGTTTTTTACGACAATCATTATTTAAACTCATGATGATCTCTTCATTCGCATCTTCTTTATAAACAATTTTCCGTATAATGAATCTATGTTTAATGTTAATTAAAATTTCACATTAAAAAGACTTCTTCATTAATAAGACGAAAACAAAACTAATTTTTATGCAAATATTGCTTAGCTCTCCAAAGAAGCTGTAGTAGAACATAGTTTAATAAAAGAACATCACGATCAGTTACAATGATTTTAAATATTTTGACATTTATATGATTAACAAAACAAAACAAATGAGAACATTTTAATAATGTCACCGACTGTTTCATTTCCATTTTTCATTCAAGCTCGTTCATCATCTAGAAACGTGACTTTAAAATCACATTACAATTTGTTACAAAGACTCGTTCTTATTCTGACTTTTCTCTAAGGATTTTCTACGATGTCATATTTATGAAATGCCTACAATCTTAATGTTATCCATGTGTTATCAAGTTCAAAATGTTAGGCAAATCGAATGATTTCTTTTTTTAGTATTGAAAAAATTTTCGAATGCATTTATTATTGCAATCGACTATGTCCAACAAGATTTTTTTTTGTCTCTGCTTCATATTACTCATTACATCGTAAACGGAGGCTAGAATCATTAAATACAGTTTTGTCACTTTAACTTACACACCGTAAGTGTGGAATTATTACGTCCAAAAATCTCACTATGACGTTTTATTATTTAACATATTTCTTTTCATAAAAATCTCGTAATAAAAAATTACAATGTTAACAAAACAAATATTGAGGAGTGCTACAGATCCAGACTTAAGTAGTGTAAAATAAAAATATTGTTAGTTTCAATAATAACCCAAAACAATGCTTTATTGAAAATTACTACCCATAATAAAGAACATAAATTGTGAATATCGTGTATACTAAATTACATTTTAATGACGCTATTACATTGATTTAATAATTATAGACAGTAAGGTAATTAAAGTACTTTTAGCGATATAATAAAAAAAGTTTTGTTGTTTACCACACTTTATATGTATATTACAAAAATAATTCAATATATCTTTAAATAGAAAGTTCATACCTGATTTAAAAAGCTTCTCGTGAGCGTTTGAAGTTAAAGAATATTAGTAAAATAAAAAGCCTATATGTACATACTTATATTAGTACGTAGAAACATAAACTAAGAGAGATTTATTACTTAATGTTTTAACATAAATACAAACAAATATTTTTTTTCTTAATTAGTACAGCAAAAAATTAATAAGTATCCAAGTCAAACATAAAAAATAAGTTTTCATTAATTATTTATTCAAAAAATATTTTTAATCTTAAAGACCTTAAAAGATGTTACTCGTAGGATTTATCTAAAATAATATATCGTCTAAATCACTTGATTTATTAACAATACATTAGGCAGTTTAAAGATTGTATCCATATTTAGAGACCTATATCCCTACTAATATTATAAATGCCAAAGTAACTCTGTCTGTCTGTCTGTCTAACGCTTTCACGCCTAAACCACTGAACTGATTTTAATGAAATTTGGTATAGAGATAGAGTTGATCTTGAAAAAGAATATAGGATAGTTTTTATCCCAGACTTTTGAAAGGTTCTCTTGGAAACGCGATATAACCGAACTCCACGCGGGCGAAGCTGCGGGCGGAAAGCTAGCATAATATAACATTTTCAAACATTTTCCAGTCATGTAGTCAGAAGCAATATCTCGTAGATGAGTAATATTTGATTTGAAGTCAGATATATTTATGGATATACGTCGATATCGAAATGGCAAGCTTTTCAACGTGAAGTGTACTCATGAAACTGTGCCTCTCAATAAAAAAACGTGCATTTGAAGTTTAATTTCATAAATCCAATATATTTTATTTACGCTTATGGTTTTAATATTATATATGGAATATAATACATGAAATTTTCCCTTTGAATTATTATTTATTCATATATTTACAGGTACTCTAATATTTAGTTTTGAGTTATACAGAAGTTTTTGCTAAAATAATTCTAGCTGTATAGAAATGAGTCGATAAAAAAAGATGAACTAAAAGCTTTGTTTGATATCTTGAAATGCTACCAAAAACATTGAAAGTACAATGTACATTTTGAAATTTGGGAATAAAGGAAAATAAAGAAAATGACGAAAGTAGATTATTGTTTTTGGGAATTTAGGTTTTAGTTGAATGAAACAAAGTTAATATTTGATTGAATCAGTACATTATAACGAACAATTGAATGAAGTATGTCAATGTATGAAGTACATGATATGTATGAAATACAGTATGAAGTTCTAATTTCAATAGAATTAAGAAAATGGTTCCATTGTCTTTCTTGTAAGATAGTGAGCGATCTATTTAAAACTGATAATTACCACAAAATTTGTTTAATAAAATAAAAAATCATTAATAATGCAATTCTTACTGTATAGATATTAAAACAAGAAAAATCCGTTCAAGTATTGGTTTTTGATTATTCAGATATTTTCTACATTAAACAATAACTAGGTCCAATACTTGTTAGAATGTAAAATTTATATTATTAAGTATTATAGTATATTTATAATTTACTTTTAAACATACTCATATGACTTTAACTGAGTGATTTAAAATAAAAACTATTCAAAATCATGATTATATTTATGTTATTTTTAACTATTTTAATGTGTCAAATATAACAATAATAAATGATAATAAAACAACAAAAAGCAGTGGCATTTGATGACTCAAAGCTGAGTTAGAGTTTGGAGTAGCTTCATTAACAACCTTCTAATCCAATGGGAACGAATAGGTCAATAGCTATTCATCCAAACGAAGTCAATTTAAAACTTTGATGATTCCGACTTCAAAGCCTTTCTATCGATTGCCATTGTCTAATTATATAACATAGCAGATTTATCTGGTTTTATGGCTGACATTAAAAAATTTATCTTTGACGTTTGTTCCATTTTGTATTTATAATCAACTAGCTTTCCGCCCGCAGCTTCGCCGCGTGGAGTTCGGTTATATCGCGTTTCCAAGAGAACCTTTCAAAAGTCTGGGATAAAAACTATCCTATGTTCTTTCTCAAGGTCAACTCTATCTCTGTACCGAATTTCATTAAAATCAGTTCAGTGGTTTAGGCGTGAAAGCGTAGCAGACAGACAGACAGACAGACAGACAGACAGACAGACAGAGTTACTTTCGCATTTATAATATTAGTAGGGATGGTATGTAATATTTTCTATTGAAAAACATATTTAAAATCTTAATATATAAATGCTTTTGGGTATTGATATTTTTTATTATGATTTAAATCTGCCTTTAGTCGCCTTCGCATGTGTATAATTAAGCCTGATCTCGGTTTAAAAATTAATCTATCATTATTGATTGTAAAATTTATTAAAATTAAATTCACAATAACTTATGTACATACTCTTTGACATTTTTTATATTTATATACAGTGTTTATATTTTTAAAAAATTGAGTCAATACCAAAATTAAATTTATTTAGAATATACTAGTACAGATAGAAAAATTTGTAAATACAAATTAGGACACGATAGTTTTTTGATAAAGTAACTGGATTGCGATATCACGGAGGTTCAAGGTATAAATAATTTTTTCACACTATATTTTCGTACCAAAATTATAAGTATTCATATAATAAATATTTGGAATTGGAAGTGTACTAAATGATAGGGTACAACTGTTTTAATATGATACACAGACAAATTATTGTGAAAATTAATTTTTCATAACTAACACTTATTTTATACATTTACTGTTATCTTCTAATACATATACTAATTTTGATTTTTTCTTTTCATGTATCGTCATTGCAGAGCACAGCTTGAGTGAGTATATCAATAGTTTTAGTTTTAATTTTTGTAGATTTTCATGTGGGGTACACGTTTAAATAAGAATATATTTTTGGACAGAGCTAACCACTAAAGTCAAAATATGAGTATCTTATAATATTTGAACAGGGCGGATGATTTAGGCTGCAAGAATAACCTTAACACCAAAAAGTTTCAATTAAAAACAATGAATTTTTGGTTGTTCAAGTTACGATGGTAATTCATATAAAGGTTAATGAATTTTATAACTTACTAGTAACAGATTAAAGTTGGCTCTTCCATGTCATTTTTGCAATGGACTTGGACCATTCGTTTCTTCAAGACTGATGTCACATAGTGTAGTATATGTATCTATACAATAGATATAATACACTGTCTCACGTACCTCACTGGAGGGGGTGGCATGCGCTCAGCAGTCTAATGACTAGCGCGGAGCAGAACGGTGACGTGCGCCTGCGCTCTAGGCGGGGTAGTAGTGAGCCAGTGACTAGTTATACTTACATGTAGGACCAGGGATCCTTTACATAGGATTTGTTAAGATTTGTTTAACTTGGCTGAAAATTATTAATATATAGGACGACTTCTACGAGCTCTCCCCAAGCTAAGAGTCCAGCTACAAGCAGCGCTGGTGCAACAGCTAGTGCTTCCACCGCCCAGGGTGAGAGGACACCGACAGCACACAACAAACAACTGCAGAATGTCAAGGGTCAAGACCATCCGCCACATCCATCAGTGAGTTTTCAATAATTTCAGTATTGTTGAAATCTTTTTTTTTCGGTTTTCCGGAAATTTTATTTAAGTTGTTTGGAATTTTTTGTATTATTGAAAATAAATGTTGTAGTAATTAAATATAAGAGAAATATCGATTTCATAAAAAATAATAATTGTTTAATATTATAATTTAACAGTGTCATTTGTTTTTTTTTCTGATAGTGTTTTTAATATTTTAGGTATTATCTAGTTTAGTATAAGTTGATGTTGTTGGCAAACACTCAAATTTATAAAAGCTTTTACACACGACGTTTAATTTTTTACATAACAGTAAATTGTTCACGCGTTAATTAAATGTTAATATGGCCATATAAAAGGTTATCAGAACTTGAATAATTCACCGCTTAAAAGTTAGTAGTAAGTCTTTTATAAGCTTTTTGAAATAAAATCATTAGCTCGTGTGTAATAGCTATTATACAATGAATTATTTAGAAAAAAAAATATTAATGTTTCTTTGTTATTATTATAAAGTATGACACATCTGAATGCGTGACAAATAGAAGTTATATGTTAATCTATATTTTATATGAGTACAGAAATAATAATGTTTAAAAACTGATAAAACGGGACATCTTACGAATAGATAATGTATAAACATATTATATAAACTTTCTTGGTCATCAGCCTATCAGAGCTCATTGCTGAGCAAAGGCCTCTTTCTCACATGGAGAAGGTTTGAGCATTAATCACCACGCTCGCTCAAGACGGGTTGGTGATATAAACTTTCTATAAGATATTAATTATTTTATGAATTTCTAATAATCTAGAAGACCACTGACAGCAGTTCTGTTTGATATATAAATATATCATCATGAGCCTATCGGTGCCCACTTCTGAGCAAATTTCCCTTCTCACAAGAAGGCGGTTAGGGTATTAATCACCACGCTTACTCGAGACGGGTTGGCGATTTCAAACTTATAATTTGCTATTACAATTAATCCAGGTTTACTTAAAATGTTTTCCTTCATCTGTCAGTGATGTCTAAATACTCTTATAAAGTGCATATGACTCTGAAAAACCATATTGGTACCTGCCAAGTTTTGAATCAGTTCTTTCATGCATACAAATCTATAGAAGTTCAAATTAGTTGTGCTAAGTCATATTATGTAAGGAATCATAGTTAAGTATTTTAGTGCTTAAAAATTTATTTATAAATGTAAAAGAAAAGACAATAAATTAGAACAATAATTAAGAACTAGAAAAATACTTTTAAGTTCTTATCAATGTAATTTCAAATCGTATCTTCTTCTTCTACCTGGCCATTTCCCAGCTTTAGCCAGGGTCTGCCTCACATGTTTGTTAATACATAGTTTTGACTAATTGTTTTTACGACCGGCCGCCTGCCTGACGTCAACCCTATCTGGAAATTAGCATTAATCAGTGATGTCTAAATAATCTTAGAAAGTACATTCAAATCGTATATTTCGTTTTAATTTAAATTTAAATTTTACCTTCAGTACCTAACTCTGTTGTGATAACGAATTGTGTATACATCTTTAGATAAACTTAATTACAAAACTCATCTAGATTACATGGATTACACGGTTGAGTATAATTTATGATGTAAACGTTTTATAGCAGGGTGGTGCCTGCCAGAAAAAATAGCAATATCTACGAGCTACAAAAAAGAAATGTCTTAATGTTATAGTAGAAATAAAAGTACTTGAGAGGTTTTATTGACAAAAATCTTTCAACCGAAATACGTACAAGTACTATAACATAGTAAAGAAATTCAAATACTTGTTTTTACATCACGAAAATGAATTTCTAATGAAATGAAGTTGTCAATGGATTATTATCTTTGTGACTTTACTGATATAAAAATGCTTACAATTAAAAAGATATGCCCAAAATATCGTTAATCCTATATCCATTTTTCCATGTTTGTCTAAAATACATAACGTAACAAAACATATAGTAATTGGTCAACTAATTGTAAAATCTTTCACAAGATGAGACATTCATGTCATAAAAAGTTGTTTTATTATTATTTCAATACATACATAGATGTTAAATATCCTCTGTAAAAAATAGGTTTTGTTTTCAACAAAACTTATTTAATGAAATAACATTATATATAGTGAACTTTATTCGTTTTATTTAATTATCGATTTCTCCTATCTCCTTTCAAATTTCGTAGATACAATCTTTAGCTTCCAACAAAGATTATTAAAGTAAAAGGGAATTAATTTAGAAAGAACTTTTTGGTTCTAACCAAAATGGTTATTGCTTCAACCTTTGCATTTAAATAGGATTTTTCCGCTCAAGATTAAATGACTTGTGTAATTTCCACACCTTTTTGGTAATCCGCCTTACATTTTGCTAACTTGTTATCTTTATTTCTTTTTTGTTTCACAAGTGAATTATAACTTAACTGATTTTATAGAAATATTATATTTCATTACAAAGATCAAAAATAAATAATGTTTTTCATTGAATCAATATATATTTCTTAAATAGTTTATCTACAGTTTACATAAAAAAAATCTCAAGCAAAATTCTACGCTCATAAGAGCTAGAAGAGTGCTTTTATCATTAGAACAAGCTATACCATATTACAACATAAATAGTAAGAAAATTTAAATTTCGCAATCATAGAACCAGAAGCATGATTGCTGCAATGCATAATGCTCAATCTCCTTAGACTTTAGCAAATAAGACTCAAATCTTCTTACCACTATATTCAAAATATTAAGTACTTCTACAATATAAGTCAGTGGTGGCCTAATGGTTAAAAGGCCCGCCTCTCATGCTTGAGTCATATGTACTTGCTAGGAGTATTTAGACATCACTGATTAATTCATTCCCAAAGAGGGTTGATGTCAGGCAGGCGGCCGGTCGTAAAAACAGTTAGCCAAAACTATTCGAACATGTAAGGCAGACCCTGGCTAAAGCTGGGAAATTGCCAAGTAGAAGAAGAAGTACCTCTAGGATATAATTTAATTTATAAATCATACTATTAATCTTCCTTAAATCAGTTACACAAAGGAAACCTGAATAGCTTGCACCTGTTATAATTATAATCTCAGTTGATCAATCTCTCTTGTATGTAGATGAATTAATCTTTGAAACATAATCCAGAGCGCTTCACTGTTTGAAACTTTGACAATTTTGATGTGCAGAATAATGCCAAAAGTGCTATAAAGATGAAATATTGCAAAAGAATTGTATAGGAAAAGATACAGAAACTTTATTTACGAACATATGCTGTTTGTTACCTTTTACACTTCATTATGTAAATTTTTCAGTTATTCCAGTAAAAAATATGTCATAATTTTAACTATTTAACTTTATTTATAACATATCCACAAAATACAGTCACTAAAAATAATTAATAATTGTCGACGTTAATCATTTCTCTTTTAAAGATATTAGACAAAAATCTAATAACTCAGATTTCGTAAGTACTAAAACAAAATGAAAATGTTTTGAGATTCATTTTTATATCAATACAAACTCACATATATATAGTAAAATTACCATTCGTCTGTAACCCAAGCTGAGTAAAACTAATTAACTAGGCTAGATTGCAATTAAGATTAGAATCACGTAATATCTAGAACATTATAAATGTGTTGTGTAACTTCACATAACCTATTTGAGAGATGGTTATGTTCACTTTAACTGTCTGAATAATGTCTACCGATAAATAACTCAAACGTAATCACTGCTAATGAATTATTAATATTCTCGTAAACAAAATAATTATGGTAGTTATTGTCAATGAGAGCTAGGACGGCCATTATGCTATGGACAGCCGTCAAACCAAATGGCTAACATAACCAATTGGCTCATAATCTATTTTCATCTTATTATTTGGGTGTGATTTTAAATACAGTTGTTACGAAATCGAGTAATAAGATATTGTGCAGTATAAGTGTGTTCTATTTATGAGTTCCAATCGTTACAATGCCCATGATGGATATGAAAAGCCAAGACTGCCATGAATATTTATATTATATATATTATACATAGTTGTCGAAGTAACTTCAATCACATCTTATTAGCGCTTATATCCTTGATAGTGAACAGTTATAAAATTTCATTTAATTAAAAAAAATTTGCTTTTTATTGAATTTGATTGTTAGCAAAATCTTTTTCTAACACTCTCTACTTTCGTTCTCTGTAAAAAATTTTCAGACGTAGTTTAATATATATGTAAACTTTATCATTTAAATAATTCGAATTAGTACAAATGTTTTAAATTAAAACTTCAATGGCATGTGCAATTAAAATTTGTTAAACCACTGCGGAATGACGGAGTGACAATTTTGGTCAGCAACAGATTTTGACGAAGCCGCAACGAAATTATTAGAATGTTCACAACACTCATATATATTAATGATATGGCTTAAATTATTAGATAAATATATTCATTCGGCTATTTATACATATATAATACATATGTAACTTATATATCTGTTTGTTATTACATATAATGCCGGAATCATAATATTATAATAATTTTACGGCTTAAAAACAACATAATGACTACAAGTTTACATAATTTTTTCAATAATTCTTCGTATATTGTAGTGTAAATGAAAAAACGTTAAAGTGTGTGTATTTAGTCAAACGATTTTAGTGCAAAACAGCTAGTAGTAGCGTCAATGGTGGAAAATACTTGACATTTTCTTATAACACAAACCTCACGAAGAGGAAAGTCAATAAAGATGAATTTATTTATGTATTCTAATATTTGTTATTTTAAAAACGCAAAGAATATAGTATTTAAATTATAGACTTTAAATTTTATTCTGAACATTTGTATATTTCAAACGAATTTTTCTACTGTAAATTTCTTTAATATAGCACTGTATAATGTAAAATTCATATAGACAAAATATACTGTATAAGTAGAAGATGCAATTTCACATCATTTTCTCGCCTCGCTGTAATAACAAGGTCTCAATGCAAATTGAGTGAAGCGACCTCAGCATTTTGGTAATAATCCATTTTTG